TTTCCTTTACCATTTTTCTGGTAAAATTAAAGTAACAAAGTTATAGCCCTTTGGAAGTTTGAGTACCGCCCTGTCTCAATAATAATATCATGTGCTCGTGTTTGACAACAACGGATATAATCCGCCTTATCGGTTCATCGCATCGGAAACAAAAAAGCGAAAGAATTTGGAACGATGTTTTTACAATTATTTTATTCAGTTCAGTTATACATACAGTCAGTGTTAGTCGGTAACGCGTGTGAATAGTGTCTGTTGCGTGGCTCAAACGAAATAAAAAATGGTACATGTTTATGCGGATCGGTTTCCCAATCGAGTGCAACCAACCCCTGCCTTTGTTAATGTAGTACAACGGGCTCGTGAATCAGGTGACTTAAGACCTCACAGAGGACCTCACGATCAAATACAGGTCCGCACTGAAATACTTGTCGGGAGGATACTTTATAAAACAAGGTAAAAATTTTTTTTTATTTTTTTTTTATTTTTACACACATATTTTGGTTTATCTTCCTTCTACAATCATTATCTGAAAATTAATGACTCAACTTCAAAGTCACCCTGTATATTTCGTCTATATCGGCTACATCTTTTCAATATTGTGTGCAATGTGAAGACATATATACGAGCCCCTTCCCACTTCAGTTGGGCCAACTAGTCTATAACGCATAGGTGGCTGTGAAAAATAAAAGCCATGACAGTTGTTTTTATTAATCACAGCTGTCAGAATACGTTTAAAATAGTTTTGGTTAGTTAAGGTTTTCAAAATGGTTGGAAGAAAGGTTATTAGTGAGAAAATTCGGTTACTGATAATTAAATTTTTTAATTCTGGGAAATCAAACTCAGAAATTGCAACCTTGTTAGACTTATCGCGGTACAGTGAGAGAAATATTGTTAGAAGATATACCGAAGAGCATTAAGAAGAATAATCGTGAAAAACAGGCGTGCCAATTATTTACAATTAAGTGCTCTGTGGAGTGACGCTGTTGGAAGGAGAATTTCGGGGTCCACAACTCATAGAGAGGCCCACAAACTGGGATTTAGCACTTGCAAGGTAAGTTTTCTTCTAAAAAAAGTGAAGTAAAAACCCTAAAGTTGCACCACTTGTTTATAGGCCAAAGAAAAGCCACTATTAACTCCACTGCAAAATAAAAATCGGCTTAGATGAGCTAAATAACATAGACAATGGACACCTCAACAATGGTGTGCAATACAATGGAGCGATGAGGCCCGATTCGAAGTTTGTGTTGGTGACAGTCGCAGTAGAGTTATTCGCAAAAAAATGAAGCATTCGATGTTGACTGTCTGAAGAGAAAAGCGAAGTTTCCAGCATCCATTATGGTCTGGGGCAGTGTCATCAAAAGGAGTAGGAAAACTTCATTTTATTGATGGAAATGTGGATACAAACAAATATTTGGCAATTTTAGAAGAATCGCTTTTACCAGTGATGGAAGAATGTTTGATATCCGGCCAAGATTTTGTGTTTCAGCAAGATGGTGCAGCGTGCCACACCCCAAAAAAGGCTATAAAATGGATGGAAGAAAATAATGTACCACTTTTGAAATGGGTTTCTAGCAGTCCAGATCTGTCACCTATTGAAGCTTTGTGGCACGAGATGAAAATGGTTCTACGACAACATCCTGCTCGTACAATCACCGAACTGAGACAACAGCTTCAAGAAATATGGGATTGTTTTACACCAAATTTTTGCCTAAACTTGGTTAACACTATGCCCCAAAGAATTTCAGCCGTAATAAAAAAGAAAGGTGATGTTACCCAATGTTAATCTTTCAATTGTTGCTTTGTTAACTTCGCGGATTTATTCGCACATTGTTTATTTGTTCAGATGTTCTATTAGTTATAGGTCTAAGTGATTTCAAATATGTATTTTTTACAACTAGAGTGTATCTAAAATGTTTTTGAGAAAATAAATTGTTTTAGAATTAAATAGTTTCGTCATGTTTAGTTTATAAATGCATATTTTGGTACAAATCTTGAAGTGGGCCAACTGAAGTGGGAAGGGGCTCGTACACTTTTCAGCATTAATAATCAGGTGGGCTACAAAATCATACAAGCGTGATTGACGAAACTACATCACATTAAGTATATATAAAAATACGTCGAAAATATCAAACATGTGTAGCAATATAGCCTGGCCACACTAAAAATGTTGCTGGATAATGTAGCCCGTGCTTTCAGGGCATATTGCAGTGTCCCAAGTTTCAAACTGTTTTGGATTTTTCTCCGGTTCTCATAAAATGCACCTGAAGACTACTGTATTACGTAATAAACTATATTACGTATAAAGGCACGATTTGCCACAAAACTGCTCACGACGTAAAACTAGAACGTGTAGCTGAGGTGATATTTTTTAGTCCAGGATCTCGTAACGCATGCAAATTCGTCGTCATTCATCAAAGAACAAAGTCTTGAAAATGGACCGTCGGAATTGTTCAAAATTATAAAACCTATGTTCTTTCGTTAATCTATGCTTTTAATGTGTCTTACTTCTCACGTAATTAGCGAAGAAAATATTGTAATCATGAATCGATTTTTGCTTGTTCAACCGTGTTACTAATGTCCGTCGGTCTGTCTGTCCGCAAATTCTTGGTCCGTCTATAACTTGGCAGCTGGGACTGTGTGTGAAATGTTCACTTTATCTTTTGATATTTCAGAGGCTCCTGACTATTTTCGAAATATTTTTGTGGGGCTTGAATATTGGGGTTGCGGGTTGAGTGGGTTGGACGGGACTATACCTCAATCTTTTGGCGTTAGTATTATATACTTGTATACGCTTCCAGCACCGGTAGCTCTCGCACTCATTAGACATAAATCGCGAGCTTCTCAAGTACCTCGAACGTCACGGCTTGATTAGCCTCTGGCAGAACGTTTTCCGGCACCAGCGATCCACAGGGGACCTCCTAGCTTATGCCGGGCAATTGTGGAGTAAACTCATCCAGTCTTATGGTGAGGCTCATGTCGTTGCTCTTTATATCACCAAAGCATTCAATCAGCTGTGGCACGCTACCCTCTTGTTTAAACTTCCAACCTCTGGCGTCCAAGAAAATCTTTGCAGATGGGTTTCTGACTTTCTCTTGAGCACAAGATATCCGTCGTAAGTGCCGGGTTCTCCTCTTCATCCCACAACGTCAACGCGAGTGTTCTCCAGGAATCGTTCTTGATTCCGGCACAGTTGCGCTTACATAACAACGGCCTCCTTTCCTGTATGACCATATCAATCCATAGCTTTCCTGATGACAGCACTCCACATGCAGGGATTCGGAGCAACAAACCGATCTCTGCCGGCGAGCTGGAAAAAAAATACCAGCAGCGACTTCCTCTCTGACGAGACACCTGGGGCTAGATTCTAAACGAGTTTCGACCATTGAAAAGGATTTCGATGGCGCCTTGTGACGATATACTTGATTAGCTATGATAATTTTGACACTGCCATGATAATTTGACTATAGGTCATTATAATCATATATCAAAATTATCATAGCGAATCAAGTATATCGTCACAAGGCGCCATCGAAATCAATTTCAGTCAATCAACAGTCGAAACTCATTTAGAATCAAGCCCCTGGAGGTAATCTAATGCTTCTAAAACACAGTACTGTACCTTGATGAACAAAAAGAGTCCTAGCGCACATCCGGTTTCGATGGATAAACAAGTTCTGCCAAAGAGCCGTTCATTTCAGCTAGTCGGAGTCCAAATCACCGAGAACTTGATATGGCACCAACACAAGTCATCAATACCGGCAGCTGTTGGTAAAAGGCTCGGTTAGTTCAGGGCTAAGAGGTACTTTATTCCACTTGACCTCACTCTATACAAGGCTCACATAAGGCCTAGCATCGAGTGTTGCTCACATGCTTGGGGTGTCGCCACCCCGACTATATCATCCATGCTCGTTGCTGTTCAGAGGAGGGCTGACAGACTGATCGACGTTTTTTTCTCTAATAGGAAGTCTCGGGACCGCCTGACTTCAGCGTCCCATCCCAACCGTCTAGAACTTCGTACATCCAGAACTGGCCGATACTACCGCTCCTTTGTTCCTAAGGTGTCGAGATTGTGGATCAATCTACAAGAGGAGGCTTTTCCCAGTTCTACTAGTCTTAGGCAGCTCAAAGGTCGGATTAACAGAGTTTCTTTGATATTCTCATAGCAGCCGCGATAATAAAAATATTCCATATTTTCCGTATATTGCCCCTCATAAATCTTGACAGTGGTTGGTAGCTACAAATAGTTTGATATTATGAACTGATTGTGGACCTGCTTGACTGACTTGATCCGTTCTATTTTTTCGCTATGCATGTTCGTAGCTACCTAACTTATGCCAAACATAATCCTTCCATGAACGGGTATTACGTATCTTGAAAAGTGACATTACATCGATTTTTTTAACATTGTATTGGCCTTTTGTGACATTCAATGCATATGTGCGTGCTAATAACATGTGTTGATGATAATTCCATTGGATGCTTTCTCAAATACACTTAGTTGAGATTCAAAGCTATCTACTTTTTCTTATCCATTCTGGAAATGAAATATGCAAATTTGCTGAATTTCAAAAATGAGAGAGATAAGAAATAATTATATACATACATATACGAGTACATGCTAACAGTAATTACACACAACACGGGCGCGCTGGTGGCTTCCCGTAATTCTTTTTGAAAACACAAAGGAACGTAAAAAATCGTAATTTATAATAAGTAATACGTAACATAACCTGTCTTCAGAAAGGACAACATATAAGTAACCCATCTGGCACAGCCAATAGATATACTTCATTGGCAGCATATTCAGTAATGATTTTATCACACGGCAATATCACTGATTTTATACACATGGAGACCAATACACATAATCAGTCGGACGCGATCTTGCTATTCAACTAACTACCTAGTCTGCAAGATGACATTTTATAGGGTTTTTGACGTTTAATATATAGTAACACCCGTGCTGATCACAGTGTTGCGTGCAAAGTGCAGAGTCAACATACATGACGACATTTCTGCAAAAGTTCCAATTAGGATCTGAAATATTATGCATGAGATCCAAGGCTATGAAAGCAAGACGTGTCGCCAGGTAATATCCTTCTTTACACCCCGAATTACGCTTCGTTCATTTATAAAATACGCTTTTGTTTTTATTATAATCTGAAGGAACAATGCTGGCTGGCGCGCTGGCTCGCCAGTTCATTTACTTTGCAGCTGCTGAAAACGAAAATAAGCTCTTTGTGGGCGGATTAAGCCGCTCGTCAAAGCCAACTAACAGCTTTCAAATGAATGGTTACCTCGCGTAAATAGGCCGGAGGTGTAACCGAGTAAAAGATGCTATCTGAGCGTTTTGAGTTATTGCTGTCAGCAACAGATCCAAATAATAACAAGACGGCGGAGGGCGGTAGCGGAGTCAACAGACTTCTGCTTTGGACGAAGGGTGGAGTGGCAATTCTTGGGCTTATCCACATCACTTTTACTGTGACCTTGTTATTAACTGAAAGAAAATTTTTCAGTGTCCTGTTTATTGGCTGCCTGTGGCTGAAGTAAGAAAAACTGCGCTGAGCCGTTTCAACGCCCTCTCAAGTAATTTGATAATTCTGATGATTCAGCTCTAAATAACCGCATGGGGAGAACGGAAAAGGGCATAATGGGTATTCCGAGAGCTTGCAGATATTCAAGTGGGAACGGTTCAAGAAATATTCGTTTGGAAGTGTTCCTCAAATTACGTTTTTTTTCAGCGATATGCACAGAGACTACTGTCCTGGTGTAACTGGACTTTGCGATGCCATGAAGCCTACCAACGGAACGGAACTTTTGAAGTACTTAAGAAAAGTCGACTTCCAAGGTAAGTTGTGTGCTTTGAATAATCAGTAACCACTTTATTCTTTCTACTCGATCGACAGCAATTAATTCCTATTAATATGATGTATACCGCGGTTTTCATGTTGATAATCCCCATGATTATCTGGACAATCAAATCACATATGCTTAAGATTCATCTTCATTGTACGACGTTCCTGTACCAACGGTACCAACATATTTTATTTATCTGTCTTCCAGGTAACAAACATAAGGTCATCTGCCATTTTTAATGTACCAGACATGTCCATCGCCCCGAAAACGCAAAAAATGCGAAAACCCACCCACTGTTGACGTAACACACCGGTTAATTGTTATGCAAAATGAAACATACACAGGACCGCATTTTAAGGAGGGTCATCTATGTAATGTTTTACCTCGAGGGCTTCATTAAAAAGATACGAGGTGTTGAAGTTTAAAAATAGAAAACAAATTTCTTTTAATACCTTCAAAACCATCAGCTGGAATGAACTGAAATTTGATATGTGGATTTACCTAAGTATTGTCCACATTCAAAAGTCTTTACTTAAAATTAACGTGCACCAATGGCGGAGATACACAGTATTAGTATAAGTATTTTTCCAAATAAATATACTACGTCACTATTTTTTTTTCGAAACGGGCAATTTTTCAATTGCTACATATAATCACTTTGTTTTTTTTTCATAGAGTGCACTGTTTTCGTAAAAATAGAAATAAAACAAACTAGATCAGTTGCGAAGAGACACAATTAGTTTCAAAATAAAATAGGAGGCATATCGACGTAGATTTCCTAACAGACACCAACCTACCCTAAAGGCTTTTACGCGTTCATTTTCAGCATTTCGGCAGTATGGAATTGCCAAGCCTCCCGGAGTTAGAGGCCATGGTGTCCGGCATACTGTTCAAGAGGAATTGGAGGTGATTAATTTGGCGTTGGATCATCCTAGTACAAGTATTAGGCGTATTGAAGCCCAGTTACCACGTTAACAAAGTCTTGGAGAATTTTAAATCGGGAAGCTTTACATCCTTACCATCGGCAAAATGTGCAATATTTCCTAAGAATGTCTGGTGCGGCATTTTCATTGGCCAACTGTTTATACACGTATTGCCACAACGTGTCAATGAAAATTCATATTTAGCTTTTCTAGAGAATTACATAGAAAGTGTGTTAGATGATGTTCCGTTAGCAACGAGAGTACGAATGTGGTATCAGCACGACGGTGCCCTACTGCATGTTCGTCGTGAGATAACCGCATGGTTAAATAACCATTTTAGACAACTATGGCGGAAACGGACCCGTACATTGGCTTCCTGATTTGAGCCCCCTGGATTTCTTTTGGTGGGGCGCTTTTGAACAACTAGTGTATGCTGAACAAATTAATACTTCTGATCAGTTACAAGAAAGAAATTCAAGCCACAACAAATTTTGCGGAAATACGGTTTTCTTTGTTGAAAAAATGCCGCACTTGTATCCGTCAGAATGGTGGTCTTTTTGAACATTTATTGAAATAAAGCTTTGATTATCTAATTTGTTTTATAATTATTTTTACGAAAGTACCTTCTAGAAAAAGTTATTTAGCAGGTTGAAGGTAAAATTTGAAAAATTGGCGTTTGGAAAAAAATAGCGGCGTACTATTTTTATTTGGAAAAATAATGCGCCTAATCCCCTGTATGTCTGCCACTGGTACACGTTATTCTTAAGTAAAGACTTATATGGACAATACTTAGGTGAATCCACATACCAAACTTTAGTTCATTAGAGTTGGCAGCTTTGAAGATATTAAAACAAATGTTTTTTTTTGAATCTTCAACTACCCCGTATCTTATTAATGAAGCCCTCGAGAGAAAGTTGTTAAATAGACGACCGCTCTTAAAATGCTGTTCCATTTTTGGTCACCACTTGTGAATCACCCTATATGACTGACACCTGAAGGGACCAATGTTGTTTGTCTTGTAAGGGAATAATATCAGACCCAACATTTTGGCCTTGAGATGGCGAAGCAGAGCATCTGCGCATTTATGATCATCCAGTATCAAGCCATAAGAATAAACCTGTAAAAAAACGCATTGTCCATTGGTTTGGTTGGAGAATATCAATTAGATCTTTACTTCAAGGACACTCAACGAAATTGGGTCACAGTCCACAGAAAAACTAAAAAGACATTTGTCTTGATTTCATATAGGCTGATTCCTCTACCTTCGGCATATGTGGTTTGATTCAGCAGTTAAACATGGGGAACTTTCAAAAAACATGTTTCTCCTTCTATGTCGGTTAATCATTATGCATTCGCTTTCAGCCTAGTTGAAACAAATATTCTAAGAACGCCTTCCTGCTCAATAGATGGACATTTTATAATCTGGGAATACTTAGAGGTCTTGCAGCGAGTGCACTCTAATCGCTCAGCTACGCGCTGCTGGAATACATCCACTCATCTCTGGCCAGCCGCGATTAAACCGCTTAGCTACAGCTTGTTCGAATGTATCATCTCTGCTGTGAGTTTACAGAAAAAAAAAAACAACGCAAGCCATGAATTGGATAGGCGCGAATATACATTAATTTACTATTAGTTGTCAACGGTTGCACTGAGAATGGATAAAAATTGAAGAATAAGAGTACATATACAAGGTGTGCCAATATTTCTAGGGTAGAAAGTACTGTCAAAAATAACCGAGATATAGGGTGATGTTTCATTTGCGAAATTGAAAAAATATATCTTCGCGACGAGTGAGGATACCGAGTTAAGATTTATGACGTGCCGTGGATACATCATAAGCAGAGAACCCACAGAGTTGCCCGGTCCAAACTAAACCAGGGACGTATGAAGTTCGGTACCTCTGGACCCCTAATAGGAGACATTTTTTACGCCACAGGCCGTTTCGGTACATTTTATACAATACCACTCAATTTTCACTGAATTTTGTCTCTTAAGGACCTTTTGTCAGATCACTTGTTTTGGACAAATTTACGTTTGAATATTTGAAAAGGTTTAGCCTCCCCTATTCTAAAAACACTGTGAAGCTTGATATTTAAAATACTATATTGCATGTGAAGAAGACTATAATGGTACCTCATTACAACATTAATTGAATAATATGCGAATTTCATCCTTAATCACTAGCGTAGAATCATTCATTAAACGTTGTCTATGCACGCCACTGCTTTTCATGCTATTACTCGTATTACCCATTTAGATTCTTCTGTTTGTCTGAAATCATAACTAGTAATTGTAGAACCAATCAATTTTAGTAAAATTCTTATTATTTTACTTCTGAAATTATCGGACTTTTTCTCTCAGATTCTTTATCATTTCGGATTAAGTGAGCTCAATAACAAAGATATCACAAATCGTTAGCATCATCGGACACGGAGTATGAGGGCGGAGTATACTTTCAACACTGTTCGTACTACGCCATGTATTTTCCAAAAAGTCAGAGTCTTTGTGGCGTAGAGTACGGCCTTGTGTTGAATCCAGAGGTGGTCACTTTCAACACCTCCTTTAGGTTGGATATTATAGCATTTGCTCAGCATTATTTTTTGAGTCTAATGAGCCGTATTCATAAGAGAGAATCATATCCTCGGAAGCATAAGGTAAAAGTATAAGGTCTTACTTCTGAGAAAAAGGTAGAAGTATAAGCATATCCTTGTTTTTATATTCATAATAATTACCTTATACTCGCGAGGATATCCTCCAAGAAGAAGTAAAAGGTTGACTGGTATTTGTATCTTGAGCGACATGTTCTGACTTGTTCCAGCTTGTAGTTGACGTGGGAGTTCGTTCACTCAGCATCACTGACAGTGGTACTCCAGAGCTTACACAGACCGTTCCGTTTTCTTACTGGATATAGTTTTTTATCAAATTAATAAGCATGTCATCCTCAAGCGATGAAGAAACTATAAAAAATAATGGCAACGACTTGCAGTTCATCGCAGATGAAATTGCCATTGCTCCCATTATTTTGCAATAGTCACAAGTTCCAAAAATAAAAATGAGAAAGGACGATGCCTTGAAGAAGATGTTGAAAAAATACGAATCAGCATTCGGTAAACCATTAGATACTAAATGCTTATTAAAAAAATCAACAACATGAAATCAAGATTCCAGAAAAAAAACAGATCTAAAAAAACTGGTAATATATCAACTAAATTGATAGATTGGGAGAGAAAGTTGCAGAAAGGTATGGAAGGTGACTGTAATCCTACAACTGGGAAAATTAGAGGTGCCATTCAGGTTGGTAGTGTTCAAGAAGAAGGAAGTGAACTATATACCGAGCGCAGTGAGCAAACAGTTAGTATTCCCGCGCCAGCAATTCAGAAGACATTGCCACCAAAAGAAAATTAGCAACAGAGAAATACGAACCTGAGGAAACTGCAACGTCTAGTGCTATTACAGCAGTACCAAACAAGTATTTTACAACAAGAGTATTATCAAACGAAATTAGAAATGATGCAGCGTCAGAAACCACCTGTAACTTACGATGTTATTTGTTGACCTAGTTGACGGAGAGGAAGTTCGTCATTCTCATGATTTCCTTCATCTTCATCTGGGTCTTGTTCAACTAACTCAAAGTCAGGACCGCCCAAGCTCTTCGCAGCATTATGGAGTACAATTCAACCAATAATTATTTTCGGCACATTTTCCAACTTTACGCGGCAAACATACTGTAGGATAGGAAACCAGCATTTCAGTTGGCCGAAACAGCGTTCAATTATAACTCTTTCTTGTTTTAAAAGCTTATTATAATTTATTTCTGCACCTGGAGTAGGATTTCTGAAGGGAGTCATAAGGCATGGCTCAATACCATAATCGTCATCGCCAAGTAGTACAACATTTGCTTAATTAATTAGTTGTGATCTAGTGTGTAAATTTCTCCATATTCCGGAAACATGCACTGATCCAGGCCAACTGACATCAACACTTGTGAACATCTCTCGGTTGATATACTCATCTCCATGACGATTTGGTTTCAGGATTCCTATATGTGTACAATCAATTACACCAATTGCTCTCGGAAATTTATACATGCTTTGCCATATCCGCTTGGCATCCATCAGTTCATGGTTGGTAGTTGGAAAGTTGATCCATTCGTTCGACTGTGCAACTATGCTGTTCATAACTCTGTCCACAGTCCGAGATACCGTTGCTTGACTAACACCAAGTTCCTGACCAATACCTTGTTGATATCCAGGGTCACCAAGATAGCGTAGACATGTCTTCATTTTATGAATACATGAAAATGCTCGTCCTCGAGTTTCCTCATTCTCAACTAAAAATCTATCCACAAGCCATTGTACATTTGCTTTTTCGAACCGATATAATTTTTTGAAGTCACGACCAAGTGAAGGAAAACGAGGTTTGTACGTTTTAACATCCCTAACATCCACAATTTCCGCCATCATCGTTTGACCACCTTTCGTTTCGAAGTGGAGTCTGGTACTGACCACACTCAGAACTTTTGAATGATATGCTTCCTATGACAAGTATAAGGTGAAGATTATGAATATCCTTTTTCTTATGTCACTGCTTTGAAGGATATGCTTATACTCAAAAAGCAAAAGCATTTGCTTCAAATTATTATAAATACCATCTTGTAACGCTTCCTTTCCGCAAAGAGTCCAGAAAAGATGGAATAGAATGAAGATTCCAACTTTTCTGCACAATCACAGAAAGGGGGTTACCATTAGCTTCCGGTAGCTCAGTTGGTGGCATGAAGACATCTACAGGCATGTAGCTGTGTGTCGACCATGGCATGGCTAGAGGATAGAAGAACAAACAGAACACAAAAATTTAACAGATTTTATTTAACTGGAAAAACATTTTCATTACATTACAATTTTAAAGAACAAAATGAAAGTTTTAAATCTTTGGCGTTGTTACAAAACTATACACTTATCGTTCGCTAAGCTGGTCCATTTTGACTGGACTGAAGCGAGGATGTCCAGGTGCTTCAAGTGGAGGTCCCAGTTATGAGGGGTGACCTCACATTTAGTGGCTTCAAAACTAGTTGTAGGCGAAGTTGAACTTAAAGGTGATGGCGCTGCCAAGGCACATGCATGGGTGAGGTGATAGGCCAAGCAATGCAAAGTCAAAGACAAAGGCAAAAGCAAAGTCAAAGACAAAGGCAAAAGTCAAAGACAAAGGCAAAGGGAAAGCGGGTGGCCCCAATCTGAAAAAGAACCGTGTGCATTAGCTACGTGCCCTAATGGCCAAGGCATTTCCAATCTCAGTCTGCCTCAAAAGAGAACCAACGATTTTCTAGGTTAGAATTACATTACATAGTTTGATAAAATCAAACCGAAAATTGGAAATGCGTTTCATAAATTAAAATCATGAAATAGCAAAAAAAGCGTAAAACAAGATGGTGGTCATCAAAAATTCCTCCACATGCTTCTGATATAAAAACGCAAATATCGAATATTCATAATCAACGTACTCATAATTTCACTGAACTATGAATATATATACGCACACAGAGGTAAAATCGATGTGGATCGATTTCTACCTCGATTTGATTAAAGTTATGGCGAATGATCGAAGTAGTCGAAAATGACGTTCGATGGATATTTTAAAATCGTACAAGAAATAAACCACTTACATATCGATTATCTATAAACTACAGGCAGATCCAGCAATAAAACTGTATAGTATTATAAAACTCACAATTTTGTCCTATTTAGACACACATTTTACAAAATGCTAGCACATGGTGCTATATGACCTCATGCTACAGAGAACAAAATTCTTAGCTCTTGTTAGATCGGCGGCTCAAGTGAAAAGGAAGCGCGAGGAAGATCACAGATCATCAAGCGCGCTCCAAGCGGAAATTTTTCCAAGTAAAAAAGCTAGAGATGGGATTAATGAGTTGCGATTGAATGAAAATCGAGAAGTGATTTAATAGATACAATCGGACGGTGAAACCGTTACAATCTGGAGGATTTCCTTCCAAATTTGCTAGTACAAGAATATCCTTTGTTTTATGAATACGACTCAACGTTATGTCCTCATAAATTTAGAAATAACTATGTAGATTGTATCATGTTAATGTAATGTTTATTGTTGTGTATAATAATTAGTAGCTTCATTTATTTATTTTTGAAATAAACGTTTTCTTTGACTTTTATCCATAAAAAAATGAAGATGCCGGTAAAACCAGTGGCGTGCGCATGAAAGCTTTAATGAATGGTAAGCTCCTACGCTACTGATTGAGAATAAGACACGCATATTATTTAATTAATGTTGTAATGAGGTGCCACATTTTTACTCACATGCCATATAGTGCTTCCAGTATCAAGATTCACTGTGTTTTCATAAGAATATTTTAAGATTTTATCTCAAATATGCCTACCTGGAGACCTGTATTTTTTAAAATGCACTATTTTCATCCGAAAGAGCCACTGGCGTAGAAAATATTTCTTACTAGGGGTCCAGATACACCAGTTCTTCCGTTCCTGGTTTAGTTTTTGCCGGAAAACTCTGTGTGTTTATTGTTTATGATGTGCTTATTAAACGTCTGAAATCTTATCATCGCTACCCGCTTCGTAGGTATATATATATACAGGGTGACTTTGAAGTTGAGTCATTAATTTTCAGATAATGATTGTAGAAGGAAGATAAACCAAAATATGTATGTAAAAATAAAAAAAAATAAAAAAAAAATGTTACCTTGTTTTATAAAGTATCCTCCCGACAAGTATTTCAGTGCGGACCTGTATTTGATCGTGCGGCCTTGGAGCACCGGCATGCCCTCCCCTGTGAGGTCTTAAGTCACCTGATTCACGAGCCCTTTGTACTACATTAACAAAGGCACGAGGGGTTGGTTGCACTCGATTGGGAAACCGATCGGCATAAATCCGTGATGCCGCGGCAGCATTTTGTAACGAATCATGTCCACAAGTTCAGCATTTTCGTAAACATGTGCCATTTTTTATTTCGTTTGAACCGCGCAACAAACACCACTATTCACTCACGCGTTACCGACTGACACATTGACTGAATACAGCTGAATAAAATAAAGGAATAAAACATCGTGTTTCGAATTTCAAATTATTTCCCTTTTTTGTTTCCGATGCGATGAACCGATAAGGGGGATTATATCCGATGTTGCCAAACACGAGCACATAATATTATTATTGAGACAGGGCGGTACTCAAACTTCTAAAGGGCTATAACTTTGTTACTTTAATTTTACCATAAAAATGTTAAAGGAAGGAAACATTTCTTTTGATCAGATCTACTCACTGTTAAAATAAATGACTCAACTTCGAAGTCACCCTGTATACACTTTCTACCCTCGAAATATCGGCAAGTCTTTCTGAAACACCATGTATAACTCATTTGCAGGATAACAACGAATTGTCTTGCAATATTAAACTTTCACAACCTTGCCGTGAAATGTTTGTCCCGAAGAGAGCGCAGCCGAGCGGGTTCCTTCTGAGAAGCTGTAGCTGAGCGAGGTTCGCAAGTTGGTGAAAAACTGACGATCGCCACCTACCCAATGGTTGGTCAATCTCATTTTCATCGTCATCGCGTACGATGAAAACGACATAGGGACCTTTACGTCGTCTGATACATAACTCCTCGGCTATGAGCAGGAAAGAGCACTGTCTGCAGTTGGTCTTGGTTACAGAAGATGACAAGCTGGTCTATCTCAGCGAATGAAAATCGAGTTGGAAAATTTGTTTTGGGACTGCGGCGTTTTCTCCTAGTCTATTTGATATGTTAACGAAGGAAATCGGCATGCATCGGCAACCGCTCAAAGCCAACTCATAACACGAGTAAGCACCGAGACATGGAATGCGACTTCCTACGCCGTAACTTTGTACCATATCCTTCGTACCGAATGCATCTTCGAGAATTCACAGGATATTGTTTTGCAGGATTGAGCGGGGACAGATTCCATTTCGACGAGAACGGAGATGCTCCTGCCAGATACAAAATAAAGCACTTTAAGCAGGTCAAGGAGAGGGCTTACGAGTGGATCACCGTCGGAGAGTATATCGAGGGTGTACTTACGTTGAACATGTCAGGTGAGTATTGTTTGATGCAATCCTATCATGCTGGCAGCAATCATAGATACAGAACAGCTCTCGAAATAGGAAGGTAATCCAAGTGATGCAGGTCTACTTATAGCACGAGATGGAGCAAAATAAATATTCTGTTTCAAATTCTTTGTAACCTTTTTATTTAACGAAATAGAACGTACAGAGTGGAATCTAAGCTGGTGGACAGTTGCTTTGTAACATGAAACATTTTACCCAAATTCAAATCTCGATATTTCTGGAACGGAAAGAGATATCCAGTTGTGGTATTCGGGAGATTCTTGACCAACTCTTTGAGAACACGTAAAGTTACATTTCTTTTATTTATCTACTTATACAGGGTGAGCAAAGTAAGTAAGGTTTTTTAGCAAAGTTTTGGACTATGTCAGAGTCTCAATTTTTATTCTTGGAAATTTTGCTATACATCTTTTTGATCTTTGGACCATCCTGATAAAAGCAGTTCCTCAAATTTTTCGAAAGTTGGCTATAACTCAAATTATTGAATTTTAAGTATCACACTTATCCCTAAGAAAGGGACTATTTTGGGGTTTCTGTTGAGAGTAGGTATTTTCTCACATACTTTTACATAAAGTTTAATTTCTTGCGCTTGAGAAAAGATTGAAGCACTCATTGAACGTTATTTTCTTAAGTGGCGGGCAGTAAAAACTTGCTACTTTGACATTATGTAATTTAATCCTAATTTATAAATTTACTATGCAATTAAACAGCTTAATGAACAAATCCAAGTTAGTACTCTTAATACAGCGGTGTATTCCAATGACGTAACGCCAAAAGCATTTTTTGTTTTCCTAATAACTTAAAAATGTTTATGTTTCAAAATGCTATGATGCTGGTCCACACAGTTATTCATCTTTTATCTGGAATTTTTTATCTTTCTCATTCAGCGTTGGCGTACGTGTCTTCATTGAAGATGCTTAGGTAATAGACTCTATGAAATGTATAAACCTCAAATTATTTATTTATGACAATAACGAACTTTTTGCAAAACAGCAACAGTTATTTTGCACAATATATTAGGGCCATCCCGCACATCGATCGGAGCCTGGCATCTTCGTGGCATACTTTCCAAAACGTTATTAATAAATTCTCGGGATACGTTTTACCACTATTCCTGAATGGCTTCAGTCAGCTCTTCTGTTATTTGAGGAGCATTTTGACTTGAGCGCACTAAAAATTTTAGCCGAGACCATACCTGCTCAACTACGTTTAGGTCTGGAAACTTTTATGGCAAAGGCAATAATGTAACACTATTTTCTGCCAAAAAGTTTATAACCGTACGAGCTCTGCGCGGCCTGGCGATATCATCGATGAAGGCAAAATCATCCCCAAAGTCTTGTGCAAAAGTTATAAACTGCAGCATTGACTATCCTGTTTGAAATAAAAAGTTCGATTTAACTATTGTGCATAACCAACCTTAATTTTATATTTTATGTTTTTTGAATTTTATCTATTTTATTTATACAGGGTGTCCAAAAAATACCACGGCAAACTTAAGGAGAAGGTAGGCTTTGGTCTGACCTCCCAAACAACAAAAACTTTCCTATATATAAGTGTCACCGTTTCTGAGATATTAAATTTTTTCTTAAATTTAAAAAAACGAACCTTTTCATCTGTGGTCTTTACTTTTACTATAAAGTACTTTTACTATAAAGTAAGCATTTAATATTGTACAAACAACGGCCGATGCTTATGGCTTTCCGAATAACAAATATCCTTCATTTTTCAACATCTCTCTAGGATATCTTAAGGTACACCTCTCTATGTTCCAGATAATTTGACTCTAGCCTATGTTCTTATCTGTTAGTGGTAATATCCTTAACAAATGGAGGATCCCCTTTTTCATCTCTCGCATTTTTGAGATTCAGCAAATTAGTATACAAGTATATAATATCCAGGATAATTCAACAAAATATAAAAAGTTGATGCGCAGCTAATTTCTAGCTAGCTATATTCTTGACTCGAGTTAGTGTATTTTAGATAAGAAATCAAATTCTTGAAACTGTGCTGCCCTGTTTTACTTCCTTATTTGACGCATATTGTGAACTAGTTTACAGCATTCAGTGTATCCTACTGAGCGGAAAACTGCAAAAATCCAACCTATTTCTAAAAACAAAAGACCTCAGTCATTCAAAGACCTTCGCCCTATTAGTATTTTATCAGCACCCTCTATGATATTGGGGAAAACAATTAACGTTTTTGTATCCACATGCGATACTTCCAATTGAACAAGCAGAATTTTGAGCTGGGAGCAGTTGTTGTACTGTTATTAAATGTAACTGGCAATATTCTTCAGACAACAGATGAAGAAAAAGCCGTCGACACAATTGCCCATCAAACATTAATATCTATCCTGCATTCTGTTGGAGTAAGTAACTATGCGTCAATGTTATTATCAAATTATCTAAACAAACGCAAACAGAAAATGGTGCTGAATGGGAATATGTGGGATGCTCTAGATGTAGCTTCTGGTGTCCTCCAGGGATCAATATTGGGTCCTTTACTTTATATAGTTTTCACTTCACAATTTCCAAAAGCTGCCAACTACTACTCAAAGTTACATTTATACGTGAATAATACTCAGCTTCTCTATTCATTTCGCCCAGATGAAGTAGTTGAAGGTTGTCGTAGAATATGCGCTGACCTCGAAAGTACCTCCGATATCTCACAGCATTATTCCTTCTACCTTAACCCTGACAAGCCAAATATTATTAAACTTTAGAAATCTTATTGAATATAAAATAAATATCCATTTTAATGGTGTTGCAAGAAATCTGCAAATCGATGTAAAAAATTTAGGAGTGTTACTCGATGAAGACTTGCGTTTCAGCAACCTAAAAAACATCTATGGCTGCACAGATATGTTAAATATCAATACCAAAATTGTATTGTTAGATGCTCCTGTACTATCATATTTTAATTTCTGTGATTTTCTATACCACAAATATATATATATATATATATATATATATATATATATATATATATATATATATATATATATATAACAATGATGTAGAAAGAATACAAAGAATACATTTTAGTCATGAAACGCTTTACACTAAATCAACGCACCGAATTAGTCACAATGTACATTGAAAATCGTCGTTCAGTTGTATTAACGCAACGTGCATACGAGTATCGTCGAAAATATCGTGGCGAACAGGCACCGTCTGACAACACTATCCGTCGCTTGGTTTCGAATTTTCTTGAGTATGGGACAGTGGGAGATTGTCAACATACCATTCATCAACGACCAAGACGTTCCAATGAATTGGTTGAAGCGGTCAGAGACAGCGTTGATCAGAACTCAAAAGTGTCGTATCGTCACCGCGCTCAGCATTTTGGCATCAGTGGAACCACGTTGCGTCGCATTTTGAAGGATGATTTGCATTTGTTTCCTTATAAGGTGCAGTTAACACAAAACAAATTGCCAACTGACCGTCCAAGTCGCTTGGAATACGCCCAAACAGTCGCTCGCATGGTTCATGCTGAACCTGATTTTTGGAAGCAAATTGTGATGACCGAGGAGGCCCATTTCACGCTCTCTGGCGGCGTTAATAAGCAAAACTGCCGCATTTGATCCACGAAATGCCGTTACATGACCGGAAAGTGGCTGTTTGGGCCAGCGTTTGCGCCTAAACTATCATTGGGCCATTTTTCTTCAACGAAAACGAAACAGTCGATGGAAATCGATATCGGTGGATGTTAGCTCATTATGTCTGCCAACAAGTGCTTGAAAAAGGTCTTGATGCTTACTGGTTTCAACAAGGCGGTGCGTCACGCCGCACTGCAAATGAAACAATCCAGTTGCTGCAACGAAAATTCCCTGGACGTCTGATGTCAAAAAGAGGTGACATTGAATGGCCACCCAGGTCTCCAGATTTGGCCCCACCGGACTTCTCCTTGTGGGGTTATTTGAAAAGTCAAGTGTGCGCCAGCAAGCCCCAGACCCCTAAGAACACAAGGCAAACATTCGTACCGCAATCGCCCAGAATATATCATGCTGTCCCTCAATACTTAAAATTTCAATCGCTAGATTCTTCCACAAAGTACTACTACAGGTTTCTGAGGTATCGCTATAGTAATGTACTATGTTAAATATCTATCACCTATATGTATACGATTACATGTATCTCCTATATTTTTTCCTTTTTCCTTTCTATTTGAATTCTGTCAATATCTCTTTTATTCGTATTACGTGCTTGATGTAGGGTAAAGTGGAAGTCCTGCTATTCCCCTAGAAATGAAAGCTGAACTTCGCCTTTTCCGGGTAGCAATCTCATATTCTTGCACCTTGCTATCACTTAATAAAGATGATTATTATTATTATAAATATTATTAACACACGGACACATCTTCACCACAGTTTATTAATATACTAGTACAGAAAGGTTGATTTTAAAGTGTCAAAGTTGGAAAAATCGCTTTACCCCCTATATTCAAAAAACTAAGAGAAGTTGGGAGATCAAATGTCAAACTTGCTGCAGGGACTAAACCTTATTTCATGTGTATCCATCACATTTTGACGTCTACTGAGGTGAACAGCAAGTGACATCTTTGTATGAGTCTGTAACGTTGGTATAAATTTAGCAAAACTTGCTTCTAGCATTTTTTGTGTGCAAAGAAAGGAATTATTAGCAAGTAAAAAATGAGTCTGTAGCCTACAAAAGAAACAAAATACGGCTTTGTCTACCCGTCAAAATCATGCGACATTTGTGGTTATGGCAAATTTTGAAATATTACTAGATAATCAGCTGTTCTTCAACCGTATATTGGATACTCGTGGAAAAGACAATACGACACTAGACATCTCATCAGATCACATCTCATCAATTTAAGCTCAAAAAATTTGGTGAATTTATTTTCAGAAGCCGTTGACCAGCCTTGATGGAATTCTTTGGGATGTTAGGCTTCACAAACAATTAAAGTTCTAGCTATTATTCAATATTTTCTGTTGTCCGCTTCTTGATAAAACATACTTTTAAATTAAAGATATTTGTCATAAAAAATCAACCGCTAGAGCAAATTGAACATGTAAAGTCTCTAATTGGTGCTTTTTTGCTAGTATCTTTTTGGCAACACTGTTTTTGACAGATGACGCGTGAATC